CTTAGATATTACTTTTACATAGTTTAATTTCTTTGTATACGACAGAGCTTTTTTTTTGTTTTGTGTTTAAATGCGGACGAAATGGACGTATTTAAACAATATTCAAGATAAAATCCAATCTACCTAGGGATGATGAGGGCCAAGACAAATGAGAAAACTGTGATTACAATGAACGTGAAAAAAGGTTTATTTTCAGTAAATTAAGAGTTGTTTCACATGCGACGTATAGTCAGCGCTGAACATCAGTTGGTCTTAGTATTTGCCGTAAATACCTAGCGAACCTAGCAGATTTTTAAACGTACACTGATCAATTTCAACCTTTTTTTAAGATTTGAAACATGTTATAGTTAGTTACACTATGATTCTACAATATATTAAGTTCGCCTACATAATTAAATCACAGTGCTCATAAAGAAAAGATTTGTAAATTTAGTGTCGTTCGTTTATTAGACCAGAGCATACTGGCGCATTCGTTTGCAAAATTGTTTTAATTCGTAATTTTTTTTTAAATGTCGTATTGGAAAAAAGGTTGAAGAAGATTTTACTTCTCAGGCAGTATCTGACAATAATTTTTTCATGAATAGAAATAAATGTTAAAAATAAAGGTTTCTGTTTAATAAATAAAAAAGTTATCAAAAGTATTTAAAAAAGTAAAAAAAAATTACATGATACAAAACTATTAATCGTAAAATATAACAAAGTGTTTTGAAAAATGTTAATAATAATTTTTTTAAACTTATTACCTCTGAAAAACAGCAAAAAATTGATTCAGCAGGTCATCGGGCTTATACATTGAGTTGAAAGTGAGATAGAAGTGCTTCTCTCTAAAAGTACACGCGCGTAGAAAGCATATTGTTATAACGTAAAAAAAACAACAATAAACAAAATTTTTTAAATTTATTTAGGTTATTTTGTTTATTATAGTTTGAATATTCGGTAAAAAATTTAAAATTATAGCATTTTAAATTTTAAGGTATATTGTTTAATTCAAGAAAATTAGAATTTTCGTCAATTTTGGACTTTAAAAAATTCATAACAATTAAAGGGTTGAAGATACGATAATGGACGTAAGGACTTTTTTATTCGAAATATCCTAAAGAATATAAAAAAAATTAATTCATTGCAAAAAATGCATTTTTTCTGGCTTAATTAATTTTTCGTTGTTTAAACAATAACATCAACAAATATCGAGTGTCATCTTACACTTTTATAATAAGGAAAGCCTTCCGGACATTAAAAAAAAAATTACGAATTAAAACAATTTTGCAAACGAATGCGCCAGTATGCCCTGCACTATATAGATAACTGTTAGATCTGCTGGTTTTAATAAGTCGATATCGTCAACAGGCTTGTTAAAATGATATGCCAAGTGCACAAGTCTTCCGAAATTGTTTGAGCGACATATCAAATGTGAAACTGCATAAATCACTATTCTATGCTTTTCACAATCAAATATTTTGATTGAATTTTACCGTATATAAAGGTGTTTATATGTAAAATATCGTTTTTGAGTTAAAATTGATATTAATAGTGAATATACCGTGTTACGGCATAATATAGGACATTTTTGTATTATTTATTTTACGCAAATTTAGGGTTAATGAACATTTTTTGCTTCAGAACAAAAATAAAATAAAAAAATAAAACCCTTTTTAACGAATTTGGATAACTGGATTTTTTCAGCATATTTGTATTCAGGTATAGCCGATCGACAGAAAAAAATAGTCAATATCTTTATCTTTATTTTTATCTTTATCCGTTGTAAACAGGTATAGTTAGGTTTGCCCTAGAACACTGCGGCCTCTTGGGTCTATTGTATTCCCCTGCTTTTTATTCAGGTACTATCTTTGGAATAGTCCTGTGTCTTTGGTTAGTTTTAATATGTTCCCTACCAAGTGTTTCTGAGGCGTTCTTTTCGGTTCTAGGCCGAAAAGGATGAAACGTCGCCCAGTAAGAGCTTCGCATTCGAAGATCACATGGTATGAGGTTTCTTCCTCTTCCATGCAAAGTCTACACGTAGTGGGATCATTGTGTAATCTCATTACATTAAGGTGTTTCAGCAAGCAGTGCCCCTTTAGTAATCCCACAATGGTGGATAATTCTGCCCTGCCCTGCGAGTTGTAGTGCCTCAGTAGCCACGCGTGGTTTTGGTCCTCTTAGCATGAACTTACTGATTCTGTGCCCTCTTATCTGTTGTCAGTGAATTTGGTGATTTGTGGTTATCCACCTGTTTACTGCCTGTCGAGCAGAGGTTTTGCTTATCCCAAATACAGGTTCGGGTCCTGTGAATGGTAGATCTGGTCCCTCTTTGGCGATTTCATCAGCCTTTTCATTTCCTTGGATACTTTTGTGCCCTGGTACCCACGCTTGTTGTGGGTTGCCAGATCATTTAGTATTCCAAGGCAGTTTCAGACAAGCTTTTACTTGATTATGTTTGAATCAAGAGCCTTTAAAGTTGCTTTGCTATATGAGAGAATTAAGATGGTTTGTTTTTTGTACTTTCTTCTTAAATTCTCCCGTACACACAATTTGATTGCATGTATTTCAGCCTGAAATACAATGGCATGTTTTCCCAGTGAGACGATGATGTCGCATTTGGGTTTAACTCCATGTACGACAGAGCGTGTTCCCTTGTTAGTTTTAGATCCATCCGTATACCATACGAGACCGCTAAACAAGTATTATCTATCTCCTTATTTACCTCGTTCCAGTTACAGTTGACCTGGAAGAGTCTGTTAAAGGTTAGAAGGGGTGTCATGTGATCTGATCCCATATTTAATATAGAATCATTTACTTCATGTGTTATTCTGATGTTTTATATGTCCCAGTGGGTTCCAGTTGTTGAAGATTTCCAGTCTGTATGCACTCATTCTGGCCTCCCCCTTTATGACTAGGTCATGGGGTGGGAGGTTTAGAATGATTTCCATAGAGGCTGTCGGTGTACTTCTCAGAGCTCCTGTAATACAAAGGCATGCCAGCCTCTGTACTCCTGAGAGGGTATTGAGGGCTGTTTTCTGGTTTACTTTTGGCCACCAAACAACCGCTCCATAAGTTATCATGGGTCTTGTTATTGCCAAATATAGCCAGTGGACCATTTTTGGTTTTAATCCCCATGTTTTTCCAAATGCCCGTTTCCCTACAATGAGAGATATTTTACATTTGTTGGTCACTTTTTGTAAGTGTTGGTTCCAAGTAAGTTTGCTATCTAGGATTAGACCCAGATATTTTACTTGGTTCGTTTTGTTTAGCTTTCCTCCAAACAAAGTCGGAGTTTCTAAAACCTTCAACCTTGTTTTCCGAGTAAAGGTGTCAGAGTTTACCAAGAGGTTTTCCCTAATGCACCACATTTCTGTCAGCCTAAGAGCTCTTTGCATGAGTTTAAAGACTGTGCTTTAGTGTTTCCCTCAGATAAGGATGACTATGTCATCGGTATATCCTTGGGCGTACAGCCCTTGATTGTTTAGTGTTTTCAGCATTTCATCTGCCACGAGGTTCCACAGTAGAGGAGAAAGGACTCCACCCTGTTGGCATCCCCTGTGTATATTCACCTGCATGGTTTCACTGACCATTTGTGCCTGTACTTGCCGTCCGTATAACATGTCTTCTATCCACCAGCAGATGGTGTCTTCTATTCCATGTTTGCGAGCGGTAGCTACCATTGATTTAAAGGAGGTATTATCAAAAGCTCCTTCTATGTCAAGAAATGTTCCTAGGACTATTTCTTGGCTACTGAGTCCTCCCTCTATCTTGGTTACAAGATGATGCAGAGCACTCACAAGATTTTCCTGGTTGATAGGCATGTTGGTTTGTATGAAATGGCCTCTCTATTAAAGTGGTTTGCCGGACATGCTGATCAATTAGTTTTTCCAATCCTTTCAATCGAAATGACGTCAGAGTTATTGGTCTATAGGCCTCTGCTTTGTTTCCAGGTATTTGGTATATGTTTATGCACCAAACTTGCCCTGTAAAGCCTACAAATATGCGGGGCCAGTGTTTCTATTGCCTGTTACAAAAGCACAGGCAGTACCTCATCTGGTCCCGGTGATTTGTATGGATTGAAGGTGCGCATTGCCCATAACTACCCGTTTAGCAGTTTCCACTCTTGGCTGGAGACCCTTTTTTGAGAGCTGCATTCGAGTTTGTTGTGCAATCAGGGAAATGAGTTTTTAGAAGTACTAATGTTTCCATTCCAGTAGTGTCCGAGTCAATATCATTATTTTCGAAGCAAAAAACTGTTCGTCAACTCTAAAAATTTGCGTAAACTAAATAAAAAAAAAAATCCATATGATGACACTGTTTATGCCTGTCGGATTATATTAAAAATATGTCCGATTAGAATTAATGAAAATAAGTTTTCTTTGAGTAATGTTCTGTTACTTCACTTATTTTTTTTTTTTTTTAATTAATACTGAATTCTTATTGAATTAAAATAAACACACAAAAGATGCTACAAAGATTTCGTATTCATTAATTTTATGTGGTTTTGTTATGTTTGGCTTGCATCTTCTTTTCGGCGTCCTAGTCTTATAGTCCAAACAGATTGGTTATAATTTGAAATATATATGAGATTAACCAACGAAAAGGTTTAAAGCGAGTTTAAAAGTATCTAAGGAAAAAGGAAAACGGCATGACAACGTTGAATTTTGTTGATAGGCTGATTGCGAACAGGAAGATCTTTGACAGTGTCAGTATTACTAAAAAGAGCAAGCGAGTTTTACATTCATTGGCATCCTGGATTTGAAAAGAAACTGAAATAAATATTTGGCTATAGAAATTAATAATATTGACTAGATCCGAAGGAAGAACACACTGAGAAATAAGTGTAAGTAACGTAGAACGAACAGAAAATGACAAAAGCAAAATTACCGCCAAAAATAAAGTGAGGCGGGGTCTACCAAATGTATTTTTATATAACAATATAAAAATCTTAATAGAGAGCCAATTATGTATCTATTAAATTGCATTTATCTATTCTAACAGAAATTTTCTTTGTTTACTAGCTGGTAGGCAAACAACCAATGAGGAGTTAGAAGAGATGTTAGAACAAGGAAATCCCGCAGTGTTCACCCAAGGTGTAAGTATTTTTATAAATATATCTACTATTCTAACTAGAAAACAAAATTATTAAAAGTTCAGTTTCCTTTCTATCTTTTTAATAATAATACACTTGCGTGCATAGAAATCGGTCCCCTGTAAACTTTTGACTTTAATTATATTTAAAAAAAAATTTCGAGTTCGTTTCTTGTGGGATGTTAAGCCACAAGTCACTCTTCTTCTTCTGCAACAATAAGCTCTGGGATCGAGATTGCGGCACGAAGTCTAGCACGAATTCTTCGTTTTAGCTCATCCCATAAATGTTCGATCGGGTTTAGGTCGGGATTGTATGTTGGCTACTCCATAATCCGAAAACCGACTTCTGTAATGTAATATTGCAAAAAATGTAGTCTATGTAAGGTACCGCATAAACTGCTAAATTCTCCTCGATGTACCTAGCTACCGTTAAACCTCCTCTTTCGTAACTACACTCTTCCCTATGGATGAAAACAAGGTCGGTTCGTATTCCTGTAGAAATTGTACCCCAGATCAATATAAATTATCCTCCTTTTATCATCTTTATTATGGAATATTTAAAATTCTTTAAAATTAGCTATGACTGAATTTTGTTAAAATTCTATCAAAAACACATTGACGTGCAGACAGTGGCGGCTTGTCACCAAAATATTGGGGGTTCACAATGACAGAATATAGATATCAGTACAGATTTAGGTAAAAAAACTTTCTGTTTATAATATACCTTTTTAAAACACTAAAAATTTTTACCTAAATTTGTACTGAGATCTATATTATGTCATTGTGAACCCTCAATATTTTGGTGACTGCGTACAGATTTCACGAGTACAACAAGAAACTATATTTTTTAAATAAGATAATTATTAATTTTTTGGAATTATCTTTTTCCTGATTTCAAAATTAGTCAATATGTTACCCGTCTCTTACTCGTTTACCGTTTTCGAGTAAGTAAACGTTGAATTTCTTAGTTTAAGTAAATATTTGCCCTCTTTCTCACTGCAAACCATTTTAATTATTAAAGAAATATCAAACATAATCATTTTCATAACTTTAATAATGTTAATTTTTTCTTATTTACAGTATAACTATGACTTAAGTTGATTACAGCACCCCTTATAATTTTCGGACAAGCATATCTCAAAAAGTAATTTATTTAAAAAATTCAAATTTTGGCTAAGTAAATTAGGCAATAATATCTAGAATATGCATATATTTTAAAGTTTTAATTCCTTCCAGTTTCCTAGAAAAAAATCAAGGTCTTTAAATTTTGAATTATCATAATGAAAATAAATGCATTCCTCAACAGCGCTATTCTTAATATAATTCCCAAATTTAAGCTCTTAATCTCTTGGTAATGATTTTTTAAAATTCGCCGAAATTAGTGTCTAAACCGCCTCGTTAAGTGCTGCTTTCGGTGTAACGCGTCTGTAACTATCGTATCGTACAATGTCAGTCATCATTCATTTCTTGCAACGATTTACACCAGTTTACACCAGAAGATAGCCCTTAACAAGGCCTTTTAGCCACTAATTTTGGCGAATTTTAAAAAATCATTAAAAGACATTAAGAGCTTAAATTTGGGGATTGTATTAAGAATAGTGCTATTGAGGAATCCATTTATTTTCATTATGATATTTCAAAATTTAAAGCCCTTTGATTTTTTTTCTTGGAAACTGAAAGGAATTAAAACTTTAAAATACAGGGTGTTTCTAAATTCATGCTACAAAATTCAGCTGATTGCCCGTATGAAATTAAGATGGGTCTTGTAAAAATTTAATTTTTTTAAAAAATTTACTTTTTGAGATATGCTTGTCCGAAAATTATAAGGGGTGCTGTAATCATCTTAACTAAGATATACGATGTTTAAATATTCGAAAATGGTTGCAAGATATTGTTATATATTTTTGAATTCAGGAAAAAATAATTCCAAAAATTTTATGAAAAAATATATAGGTATAACTTTTTGTAGTACCCCGTAAAATCTCTTTGTCACTGTTTTTAATGGCATTTTAACAAAATTTAGTCATTGCTATTTTTTTAAAACTTGTTTTTGTATATCGGATGTAAAATGGCCGGTAGTTTAAAATGAATAACAAAATACTCAAATTGTAACTTTATCCTGAAACTCTTAAGCAAACAGGTAGGTATAGTGGTTTTATTAAGTAGTCGTAAAACGTTCGTCGTCAACCTAGAAATTATGAGACCTATATAATTTTCAAGGACTTAATATCAACATTATTACGATTTAGGTCAAATCCTCTGCTGGAGGTTACTTTTCTGATTAAAATGTAACTTTATTCTGTATAATAAACTTTAATATCCATTCAGGGACATAATTTGTACCACCTTGACAATACCAAGTAAGTTTAGCTTCAATAATGCTCACTTTAGACTCTTTAGAGGTTCATGTTTACTACTCGTACAACGACAAGTGGCCTGTTACATAAAATTCAACGATCTGCAAATCCGAATAGACCAATTCACTGTTTATATATGAAAACGTTTCCTGGATTGTCCCGAGTTCCGGCATTATTTTTTCTATTTTAAACCGACAAAATGAAAACAAAAGACAAACTCAATGTTTGTTTAACAAGTGAGCGTTGAAGCGAAGTGCTATGTCTCCTATTAGATTTAGTACGGTTTGTGGGAACTTTTTGTTTTTATCTCGATAAAAATAAACGATTTCCATTTTGTTTCCATTTAAGCAAACAATATAAATAAAGTGTTTTCTTAAAGGGATTAGAATTTTGTTCATCTTTTATTAACTGGGGCAACTATAATAATTCGTCGTTGGAAACGCAAAGGGACGGAAGTCGAAAAATGTCCAATTTGAGTTAAGAGCATCACACATCTTTTAAAGAGTATATCTATGATGTGACAAAGAGGTGTATCTCTCATCCTTATAGTTAACATAATATGGGAAATTAAATGCACTAATATGCGTTTGCAGTGCACTATACAACAAAATATTAATTGCGTCTTCTGTAAAAGTAAAATAGCTAAATTGGAGTTACGCCTCTTTATCTTGTATTGTATAACAACGTACGACGGACATTTTTCTTAGAACGTTGTTGTATAATTTGGAATTCTAACAAATTGTCATGCCTGGTTAGTTATGATTATCAAATTTTGTTCTAAATTCATTGAATTTTTTTCATTTATACTAGTAGATAGATGCGTATTTATAAATTCTGCTTAACTTTTTCATGGGTATTGTGAATTAACTAGAGGAACAGCGACAGTAGATCGTAAAACGCGAGCACGCACTATAGGTATATCACTTTGTGTTGAATTGATTAATGGGGAGTCGTCCCTTCCAGTAATCTTAGTACACCTAGGATGTTAATTTGATTTTATTAAGTTCAGTAATGTACAATACGCGTTGGGCTGTTCACCTAAATGTAGCAGTTGTAGGATTATTTTAGGATAATTGATTTGAAATAAAATCTGTGGAGGGCAGGTTACCCCCCACGACACTTAAGCCTCACTAGGCTCATCTTGTTGTTCGCACCCTCTGTGGAGTGCGGATTCTGACAGCCCCATGATATGAAGATGCTTCCGTACTTGGCAATGACCAATCAGAATGTCTGTGACTAAGTGCAGATTCTGTCTAGTCATAGTCAAGTATTTGTTTACTGCAGTGTTTACTTAAGAGCTCCCTGGCAACTCTGCAGTTTCTTGTTTCATCCCATCTTTCCTTGAATTTCACAAGGGAATGTTCTTTAATTAGATATGTCACTACCGATTTTGTCAGGCCAATAAAAGGGCCAGGTCCAAAAAGTATTTGGTTGGCTGCTTTCTTGGCTAGTGAATCAGCAAGATGGTTACCTTTCGATGTGGCGTGACCTTTGATCCATCTTAAGGTGACCACATTGTTGATAGATACTTCGGCCAAAGCTTCGTGACATTCTAGTACTAACCCTGAGTAAATTAATGGTCTGTTCAGGGTGAGTAGTGCTTGTCTGCTATCTATATAGATGAGCATGTTCCTTTCAGTGATATTGTTTCTAGTGATTTTTTTTGCTGTTATGAAAATCCCCATTAACTCTGTTTGAACTACACTGGCACTATTGCTCACAGCCCATTTTATATTTAGGTTTAAGAATCTGGCGTATATTCCACTTCCTGAGCTTTGTTTTGTTTTAGAACCATCGGTGTAGATATGAATCGTACCTGCCACTTCCGGCTCTTCTATTTGTTCTCTTATAACTTTATATGGCTTATGGAAAATATATCTCGGTGAGATGGAGTCCATGTTCGCCTAAAGCAGTGGGAGAGTATCGAGCGCCTCCTGCCAAAAGCAACGTCTCGCCTCACCAGATCCAATATCAGGTTCTATTCCAACCGTGCGGAGGCGTGTCATTGTCGTCAGAGCAACCTCCTTGATACAAATATCGAAGGGAATGAGACTAAGAATGACTTCCATGGCTCTGGTCGGTATTGTTTTCATGGCTCCTGTTATGTTGAGACATGCTGTTCTTTGAATTTGTTCTAGTTTACGGATAGCTGTTAATTTTTGGGTTTTCGGTACCGTATCTTAGCAGGTCTTATACTAGCCGTGTAAGTTCAATGCGCCCCACGGTTCGGCGGCATTGTTCATAAGCAATGTATGCTCTTTTGACTCTGTTTTCTAAAGGCGAGTTCCATGTTAACTTGCTGTCAAAGGTGAGACCTAGGTACTTCACCTCTCTTGCAAAGTTTAGTTTTGTGTTTAGGAGTTTTGGAGTTTTTAATTCCATTTTCATCCTTTTCCTTGTATAAAGGACCATTTATGTCTTCTTAGGATTGAAAGACAGTGAATGGTCCTTGCTACCACTGTTCTATATTTTTTAGAGCTACTTGCATTCTTTCGCGTAGTATGTTTTCAAAATTCCCTGTTTGCAGAATGACCAGGTAATCTGCATATGCTATTGTGTAGTGACTGTCATTATTGAGGCGGCTGTTAAGGGTGTCGAGGACCGTGTTCCACAGTAGAAGTGGTAGCACCCCTCCCTGTGGACATCCCTTTGCAACCAAGCCTTTTATATTCACTTCTTCTACACTTATATTTACTGCTCGCTTTGAGAGCGTGATATGTATCCACCCATTAACCATCTGTGGAACATTCTTGTTGTTTAGTGAGTGTATTATCTTTGGGAAGGTGGTTTTATCAAACGGACCTTCTATGTCTATAAAACACCCAAGGCGGACTCCTTATTGTCCAGGAATCTCTATCCGGCCAGCAAGTAGATGAAGGGCTGAATCAGTAGATCTGCCTGGGGTGTAAGCATGTTGGTTTGGGTATGGTGGTGTAATCACCGCATCCCTTATGTACCTTTCGCATAGCCTAGCAATGTCTTCATGGAAAACGATGTCAGACTATTTGGTCGGTATGTTTTTGGGAGAGTGTAATCCATCCTTCCACGTTTGGGTATGAATACCACTTTTACCTCTCTCCATTTTTGGGGATATACCTTAAAGCCAACGAGGATCTGAATATACCCACCAGGTGTGTTGTAAGTTCTTCCAGACCCCACTGAAGTAGGACTGGATAAATACCGTCAGGTCCTGGCAATTTAAATGGAGAGAAGCTTGATATTGCCTATCTAATTTTTTTATCGTCTAAAATGTGTTTGGCAGTTTGCGAATTATAGACAGATGGGTTGTATTCTCACTCTGTCCAGTCGGCCACGTCTGTGATGACCGAGTCAGGGAAGTGTGTTGACAGCAGAAGGTTGATGCTATCTTCGAGTTTGGCAGTTTTTGTGTCATCCTCTTTGATTAGCACACCAATGCTTCGGTGTGGATCTTTTGAGAGAGCTTTTTGAAGCCTCGCTGCCTGCGGGAAATCTTCGATTTCTTCGCAGAAGATTTCCATGCATGTTTCTGTTTTTGTCTGACGATTTTTTTTTAATTTTCTGAGGTGAGATTTGTAGGTATCCCAGTCCTTTTTGAGTTTTGTGATTCTTGCCTTATTAAAGTATTTCCTAGTCATCTTCCTAAGGTGGTCCAACTCGTGACACCGCCATGCGGTAGTCGTCTGATCGTGTTGGACAGGATTTCTTATAGCAATTGTTTATTGTGCTTTGGATAGTGTTCGAGTACTTCTCCAAAGCATTGTTATTGTTTGGTGTTTCGGCCTCTATCTCTCTGAGAGCCTCTTGGAGAAGGTGGACATAGGTTGCCCTGTCTGTCTTCCTAGGGTTCCGAGTTAGCGTGGTGGTTGGCAACATCAAGTTTATTTTGAATGTTAACTAGCGGTGGTCTTGCATCGAAATGTTATCCGACACTTGCCAGTTTAGAATTGATTTATAGATACCAGTTGTGGATAAAGTAATATCTATTAGTGTTTGATTTCGAGAGTTTAAAAATGTTGGTGTAGTACCTTTATTCAAAATTCAAAGATTTTTGGTAATTATATAATCATAAAGTGACTTACCTCTAGCGTTGTTATCCTTACTGTCCCAACTGAAGTAATGAGCGTTTGAGTCGCAACCTATTACCAGCTCAAACTTCTTTTCCAGACGTATATTGAAATGAAAGATATTATTTTATCTTTTAAAATAATATCTCCCAACTTAATTATTTGATACCTAATCTGTCATGCCAGACATGAAAAATAACAATAATTCTGGTAAAAAAAATTAAACATTCTTATCAAATAAAAAACAATACAAGAGTGGTTTGAACAAAGCACCAGGTTGGGCTAAATAAAAACCAAACCTATTATACAATTCTATTCTCATAGCACTGAGTTGCTCGAGTGTGATTTGAGCCCTAAACTGCATAATTTTTTGACGTAATTCATTCATGTTGGTAGGTCGTTTGAACTCAAACCTATATAAATTACTTTTAATAAAAATCAAACGGCGCTAATTCTGACGACCGACGTGGCCATTTTTATAGTGCCCCTTGAATATGAAATTAACCAACTCGAACATCAAAGATTGAAGTTTAGTTTCCACAAAACCCAAGTCTAAGCAATCAAAGAACAAGTGTTTGTGTAAAAATTCAATAAAATGATATACAGCGCTCTACGTTGATGTACCAGGGTAAAAGCCATTTTAGCATTTAGTGAAATCTTACCCTTTTCTAAGTAGGAAATCATACATAGCTTTTTCAACTATTTTACTTGTTATTTGTTTAATTGTTCAAACAGCTGATCATTTTTTTTGTATAAAGGAGTTATTAAATCTTCAGGATATACACCAATCTGAACGGAAACATTTTATTATATTAGCTAAAGGTTCAGCTACATAATAAGCAATATTTATGATCATTTTAGTCGGTATATAATATACCCCAACAGAATTAGTTAATTATATTATCTAAAATGTTTTGTTTATTTATTGGGTCAAAGAAAAACGAATTACTCTTACTCAAATCATATTTTGTACAATGTTTTCATTGAATTGCTCTAGTGTTTACCAAAACTAGTTGCTACCTCAAAATTAAATTTTAATTATTTGTTCATTGATTTTTAGTTTAATTTGTTGATTTGTCCTTATTCTGCGCTTTTCTCCTTAAATAGTTTCGAAAAATATTTTTGTATTTTAATAGGGTTCTTGGTGTGATAGTTTATCACATTTTAGTTTTTGATTTTAAATTGAGTTTTTGATTGTAATTCTAAATATTCGTCATGACATTTCAGTTTCAACCAATGCAGGTTTTTTACTCTAGTATTCATTTTAATTGTTTCGGTGATTATCCATTTACATTCAGTTTTAAACAAACTTCTTTCTTAACCATTGGACAAAATTTATCGATTGCAAAATTAATATCATAAAATTTGTGTAGTTACCATACTATGGGGTCTATTCTGTAAAAAATCCTTTATATTTAACGGTCTTTAAAAATATTTTCTTCTTTAATTCGGTCACTATTTAAACGGATCTTTAATATACATTAGAGGACTATCTTAAAGAAATCTGTTTAAATAATGACAGAAGTAAATTAACGAATACGAAAATGTTTTTAAAGGCCGCCAATATTTTTAAAGGCCGTTAAATATAAAGGAATTGTTATAGAATAGACCCCTATAGGAGTTATAATCCTTTTCAGGGTGGATTGCAATAAGTAGCAAAGCTAGCTAATTTTCTTATGTCTAAAACACCATTAGCAGACGGCATAAACTCTGTTCGTTAAGTCACAGTTTAAAAAATATATATTTTTTAAACTGTGGTTAAGTATTCCAAAAGTTACTTCTTCCATGTTCATTTTTGAAGCCACGCCAGTCATAGACAACTTAGGCTTGCAAAAAAATGATAATGCCAAATAATGATCATAACAAGCACTATTTTTACGTCTTTGTTGTATTATTAAATAATTTATTTTTATTAAAAGAAAATTATTTATTTCAACCTAAATTAAATAGAGCAACATACCTATATGGCTTTCAACATAACTAAATCCTCAACAATCCAACTGTAAATCGCCTGAAAATGTCTCTGTAAAACATTTATTTTTCAGATTATAATGGAAACTCAACAAGCAAAACAGACTTTAGCGGATATCGAAGCGAGACATGCCGATATCATCAAGTTAGAAAATTCAATTAGAGAATTGCACGACATGTTCATGGACATGGCGATGCTCGTAGAAAATCAGGTAAATTATTCTTTTATTTTTCGACGTCGATCGTCGTTGTTAATTTTATACTAGGTCAGCGGGAGCAGCGGCGGACTTTAATTTTCTTTTTTGAATGAAGCTTGCAAGAGAAGCTCCAGGGAGGACACAAGTTAAAATTCTTACAATTCCTTCAATTCTTACAATACAAACTCTTACAATTCTTACAATTATTACAATTCTTACAATTCTTACAATTCTTACAATTCTTACAATTCTTACAATTCTTACAATTCTTACAATTCTTACAATTCTAACAATTCTTACAATTCTTACCCTTCTTACAATTCTTGCAATTTTTACAATTCTTACAATTAAATTCGTACAAATCTTACAATTTTACAATTTTTACAAATTTTACAATTTTTACAAGTCTAGCAACAGGTTAGATTGATGTTTTAAAGCCTCATATTCTATGTCCCCTCTGTACTTACATTATGACCACAATGACTACGTTTTGGGAAATTTCAATGCATTTGAAATGGTTATGAAAAGTTGGGGAAAACTAAGCCTGAAATAATTTCAAATTTTCATTTGTCATCATTTTTCGTCAATAGATATTTTTAGTTAATTTTTTTTTATTTGAGTTTTTTTAAATAAAAGTTTTCAATTAAAATCCATATCTAAAATTATAAATTATTTTTACAATTTCCCCTCTTTAGATCCGCCGCTGCTCGCTCCGCATATCGAAGTCCTACAATCGATTAATTGTAATGTACTTTTAGTTTTGTAATGAAAATTTATTTGATATCAATTTATATGGAAATTATATTTCAACGGTTTTTTGCGCAATTTAAACAATTTATTCAGACGATTCGAATAAATATTTGATATTTTCTGTGATTTCATAACAATGAAACTCGTTTAGAATGTTATTTTATTGCAATCAATATGTTCGGTGCATGTTCAGTTTATTTAAATGTGAAAATATACCTGACATAATGTGTTTCTTTCCAATACTAATATTCTAGATATTATCCTTAATAATGTGCTAAAATTTTATAAATAAAATACGAATTTTTAACTAAAATCGGATCATTTTCTGATTACATTTACGTCGCAGGCAAGGGGAATGAGTTAAGATTATTAATAATAATGGTGGAATTTTTTTTGGCTGCCATCGAAATCTGAATTCTAACTATGCAAAAACCATAAGCTATAGAGAATGTTGTTTTTTAATAAAGAACATTTTAAAAATTACGATACTAACATTTTAGAAAACTTTAGAATCAATGTGCACGGCGCACCCACCAAAGATTTAGATTATTAACTCAATATGTATTTGTTATTATAGTCTGAATAAAAGAGAAGTGCAGTAAAAGTGGGGATATAACGTCACATTCCATAGGCCTATTTTGCAAAATAAGTTTCTATAATATAAATAAGGTCACGGCATATAAAATGGTATATGCGCACTTAGTCGATTAAATTTTGAATGAAAATATGATCTTATGCTTATGACAAAATTGTTGCACTTTAACATTAAACGAATTAAATTTAACCAATAAATAACAAGGAGGATTATATGTTGTCAATGGGATTAAACTTTTTTTAATCCCTTCACATTAAAAGTAACACTTCAATACCTAAAAATGAAAAGTTCAAGAATTATCTTTACTATAACTACTGGTATCATTATCATTGTCTCTTCCGAGGTTTATTATTATAGGGTCTATTAAATTTTCCATTGCTATATCCACTTTCCAAAATGAATTTTCCACCATTTTACCATGATAAATGCATTTCCTCCAATGTTCCCCATTTACATCTGAAACTGCCTTCAAAAACAAAGGACCCCGCAATAATCTTATGGAAATTGGGTTTCGGTCAAATTGTCTGAATTTTTGATATGTTGTAGATTTCGTCATCCTGAACAAAAGTCTCCATGGGCACAAAGCGCCAAAATCAATATTTTGGCAGCTACAGAGCTGCCAAAGTTCCATATATCCGTTCCAAAACTATTCATTTTTAATACTATTTCCAGATGTCGAGAGCATATTTTAATTATTTAAACACATAAGGTAGCGTTTTTTGGGTCACTGAATTCGATGCTAATGTTAGATTGGAAAAATTGACAGTTGACAGCTGTCAATTCGCTGTCAAAGAGTAATAAAAAAGTAAATGTGCTCTGTTGACATTCAGAGTTTGGGTTTTTTGGGTCGCTGAATTCAATTCTAATGTTAGATTGGAAAAATTGACAGTTGACAGCTGTCAATTTTTCCAATTTAACATTAGAATTAAATTCAGCGGCCTCGAAAACCTGAATTTCCAATGTCAACAGAGCACATTTACTTTTTCATTCCTCTTTGACAGCGAATTGACAGCTGTCAACTGTCAATTTTTCCAATCTAATATTAGAATTGAATTCAGCGACCCAAAAAACCCAAACTCTGAATGTCAGCAGAGCACATTTACTTTTTCATTCATCTTTGACAGCGAATTGACAGCTGTCAACTGTCAATTTTTCCAATCTAACATTAGAATTGAATTCATCGACCCAAAAAACCCAAACTCTGAATGTCAACAGAGCACATTTACTTTTTTATTACTCTTTGACAGCGAATTGACAGCTGTCAACTGTCAGTTTTTCCAATTTAACATTAGAATAGAATTCAGCGGCCTTGAAAACCTGAATTTCCAATGTCAACAGAGCACATTCACTTTTTTATTCCTCTTTGACAGCGAATTGACAGCTGTCAACTGTCAATTTTTTAGCATTGAATTCAGCGGCCTCCAAAACCTAAATTTCCAATGTCAACAGAGCACATTCACTTTTTTATTCCTCTTTGACAGCGAATTGACAGCTGTCAACTGTCAATTTTTCCAATCTAACATTAGCATTGAATTCAGTGACCCAAAAAACGCTACCTTATGTGTTTAAATAATTAAAATATGCTCTGGACATCTGGAAATATTATTAAAAATGAATAGTTTTGGAACGGATATATGGAACTTTGACAGCTCTGTAGCTGCCAAAATATTGATTTTGGCGCTTTGTGCCCATGGAGACTTTTGTTCAGGATGACGAAATCTACAACATATCAAAAATTCAGACAATTTGACCGAAACCCAATTTCCATAAGATTATTGCGGGGTCCTTTCACACATCAGGTAATTTAAATGTTGTATTGTTTCGAGAAACATAACCTTTTAATTGCGACCAGATGAGTTCAATGGGATTTAACTCTGCGTGGTAAGGAGGAAATCAGAGAATTTCAATTAATTTTTTTCGGGTAATTCTGTCTTCAATTATTTAGGAGGACGGATAATATTTTTAGAATGAAGCCATTTTGAAATATCTTCTTTTTTCCATATTGTAGGATGAAATTATCCAAAACAATAACGGAGTTGGCTGGAATTTTTTTATAATGTTCTGAAACCAATTTTCAATCATAAAGCCATCCATTTATTCATGGTAGTCTTTTGTTTTCTTTGACTCGAACATTAATAAACCATTTGGCAAAATTCCATCGGTACTTCCAATGTGGGTTATTATTAAATGATTTCTTTTTACTGTTAAATTTTTTAATCCACAAGAGAACCCTTCCATAAAGGCTTGTTTTTTAGTTTTGATTGAGGTATATTGCCAAATTTTTCTTGCTGTATGCCCAGCATTAACCCATGTTTCATCTAAATAAAATACCTGTTTCTGCTGATATCTTGCGTCGGCTATTTTCTTTAAATAATCATGTCTCCACTCAATGATTTCGTATAGGAATTTCATTTTGAAATAAAAAGAATGTACCATTTCCCTTATTACATTCTTTACCCAAGTTTCAATGAAAGTCATCCACAAAAAGTGAAACAAAGTCTCTTCGAAGATTATTAAATACATTAAGTACGATATTTTTTCTTCTATGTCCACTAGATCGTTTACGCGTACTCGTGTTTGCAATATGTTCTAATGCACTCGCCATTCTTATACAGGGTGTTTGGAAGGTCGATGCAAAGTCTTGGGGAGGTGATAGGGCAGGTCATTTAGACCTAAATAAGTCAAACATACCTTAGTACAAAGTCTTACGATTTTCGAGTTTTTCGAACATTTTAAGAGAAGAAAAGTTACCAAAAATGTATTTATTATTTTTTTGTAGTCAGTGTGGTTTTCTTTTCTTTACACTTTCAGAAAAGAAAAACGTTCTGCTATTAAAAAAAAAAATATATTATAAAACTGTCATCTTTTATTTTAGAGATAAAAGGAAAAAATGTGAAAAAATGCATTTTTTTTTAAATAAATCCTAAATGTTAAAAAAACCGTAAGACTTTGTACTAAGGTATGTTTGGCTTAATTAGGTCTAAATGACCTCCCCTATCACCTCTCCAAGACTGCATCGACCTTCCAAATACCCTGTATAACTGTAAAATTATAATATATACTAATACAAAATTCAGAATCAATTAAAATAAATAAGATACGGCTACGAATAAATAAAGTCTGACTTATCTGTCAATAGAAAATATTTATTACAGTAAAAACCATGGAAACATGATTAAATCTAAACAAAAACTTTTATTAGACCTATCAGATGTATTAAAATTTCCATTTTAACTACATAAACATTGAAGGATGAGGTATAAATAAAATGTCTACCTCTTGAACCTGTACTACGTTCTAGACTATATTCTTGTCAAATATAAATATAAAATATGCTGATTTAATTAGAATAAACGAAATTTTCTACTTAGGAACAATTTCCGTCTTTGTTTATGGTACAATTTTAACTAAATTTTAGTAGTGGGAAAGATTCAACATGCTTAAAAGTCCATGCATGTTTTTTACAATAATTTTTACTTCTCCCCAATTATACCACTTCCAAAATTTGGTTTAAATTGTATAATTGGGGAAAAGTAAATATTATTATCAAAAAAAATATGCCTGGCCTTTTAAGCATGTGTAACCTTTCCCGCTACTATGATTTGGTTAAAATTGTACCATGAACAAAGACGGAAATTGTTGCTAAGTAGAAAATTTCATTTATTCTGAA